ATTCCTATTAATAGTACCGAACTGTTAATGCCCGATTATCTCTTCATAAGCCGGATGTTTTCTCTTGAATTGTCCTTATTATAGCCTTTGGAATAACCCGGGGTTGGGCTTCTTTTAAACACCGTCCTAAAATATCTTAGCTTCTATACGGTGTCTATAGTTCTTTTCAGATCACTTTACATAATCCTAAGATATGAAAAAATATATTTCGATAGTTTCAGAGATATTAATAAATAAGTAAAAATATATTTTTTTCAACCTTCATTAAAAAAATGATTACAAATACCAGAACAGTCCTGAAATCAAAACTGTCGTTTGAACGGTCTATACTTACTTTGCTATTAATATCGTAATCTTAAATCATACAGGATGTTCAAAATTCTACGCCAAACTTTCTAAAATATAAAATAATTTTTCTTTGTTTTTTAAATGGAACACCCTGTATATTAGTTTTTTATTAGATGGAGAATTAAAAAATGAACATTTTTTGTATTTAAAGTATTTCAAAATTTTTGATGGTTTCGTAGATACATGCAGTATAATTTCATATGGCTCTCTCAACGGTAAAATACGAGAGAAAACTCACTAGGTGGCTTTTGATATAAATTTACTAGGGAAAATGCCATATGAAATATAAAACCACTTCTTCATCTATTGAAAAGAATAATATACAGGGTAGTAGTTTAGGCTTTCGCGGCCATCGTTTGAAGAATTTTGGTTTTTCGGGTTATTAGGCCGTCGTCGGTTAGAATTGCTTCCTAACGTTTCGCTAGCACGAGTGGCTAGCATCTTCAGAGGTGTGTTTGCTCCGATTGCTCACACTAGACTGATGATCATCAGTCTAGTGTGAGCAATCGGAGCAAACACACCTCTGAAGATGCTAGCCACTCGTGCTAGCGAAACGAAAATTCTTCAATATAAATAGTGTCCCATTTAAAAAAGAAGAAAAATGATTTTATATTTTAGAAAGTTTATGTAAAATTTGTAACATAAGTTATGATTTAAGATTACCATGTTAAAGCAAAGTAATTACAGACCATCTAAAGTAAATACCTAATATAGTTTTTATTTCAGGACAGTTCTTGTGTTTTTTTCTTGTTTGTTTTTTTTTAAGAAAGGCTGAAAATATAATTTTTTTTATTTATTATATATATATATATATATATATATATATATATATATATATATATATATATATATATATATATATATATATATATATATATATATATATATATTATAAATATATATATATATAGGATTATGTATGTTTAAAAAAAATCACTCCGATTCACTCACAATTTTTTGAGCCACTATAGAAGTTAAATGCCCGACGCACTATTGCCGGACCCTGTATACTTACGTGGATAAGTAAATCACTATGGAAACTGTCGCAAACATATCAACGACTTCCATTCATAGATAAATGCAACAAGTTTAGATTGGAAAGCCCGTATAAATTTTAGATCGCGAAATTATTTTGGGTCGCGACCGTTATACGCGATCTGGCGCTGCTATAGCGGTCGCTAAGAACAACGGCAAACAAAAACAGAAATAATTTACTCTTGTCAAAATCAGAATCTTCAAAAATCATAATAATTTTTCAAAATCTAAACCGCTCTCATTAAAGGAATCCCGAAAAGTGTTTATAGCGTCCATTTTCAAAGTAATTATTGCTATCTTGTGAGTTTAATTCAAGTTTTATTTACTCCAACCGGTGATAATTGTGAAAAAGTGGCATTAAAAACTTAAAAAGCTGTGCTGTGAACTGTGAACTGCAAAAACCATCGTGGATCGTGGCATAACGTCGGTTTCCAATTTTCATAGGTATTTCATACATGCGTCCTTATATAAAATAAAGTTTCTTGTATGCAACACACTGTATTTTATTTATAAAATTAAACGAAAGTAATAATAAATTTGAATAAACAATATTTGGCGATATAATTCCGGAAAAAGCCGAACCGCTCCGAAATTTTAAAAGTTTTGGATCGCAACCGTTGCAAGAATAGCGCCAGTGTTTACATTGTCCTTATGGGCACTTTCCAATCTAAACTTGTTTCATTTATCTATGCTTCCATTTATTTTCTTTTTTGTTGCACACGCGGTGCTTTTACTCCTTATTGTTTTATTCTGTCCTTGTTGAGGACCTATAGTCCACGCGCCAAATATGAACATCAATTTTAAAAATTTAATTTGTAAAATGGATATATTTGAACAATAAATTGAATGTTTACTGTCACAAAAATTAAATTATATAAAATACATTTAGCCACTCCGTACGAATATCAATATTCTTGGGAAGTCTAAAAAGAAAGAATGCATGTGGTTTAATATTTTAATATAAATAAAAGAACAACTGAATACTTTACTTGCTTATGAAAAAATAATTCGGGGACCTTTATATTAGAACTTCCACACACTAAATACTTTCTAGTAATTTTTACGAGTATTTAGAAAATCCAACGAAAAAAATAGAAATATAATTATTGCACATACTTAAAATTAACTTCTCACTGAACACATTTGCATCCTTGGCTATACAAAAGCGGTCGATAAAATAGCAATTAATACAATAATTTTTAAAATAAAAAACGCAAACAAGCTTCCACAGTACACAATGGAAATAAGATTATGACATGTAATTGTGACAAAATTATGACCATAGATAAGAGATACTAATAATATAAAATAGATAGGAAACTCAATACATTTTGTCCTGACGTAGTCCTGACCGAGCGGTGGCGCCATCTCGTGGTTCTAGTAACAAAACATAAATTTAAAATGGATGGTTTCTATTTTTTTCGTAGTTTTCCATTAATGCAAGTAAATTGATTCCAGAGAGAACCAATTTACTCGAATATATGGATTTAAGTTAAAATGACAAAGGGAATATAACAAAAACACAAAAAATATAAGAAACCATCTTTATTGAACTGAATATAATAACAAAAACATTACAAAACATTATAATAATAAAAACTGTCTAGATCTATTACAATTAGGGCAATGTATATAATATTTATCGATCACCTGTGTCCAACATATGTTAAATTAATACATATTTAAATCTTGAAAAAATGTAAACATATTTATATTTAATAAAAAATATATAAGAAACGTAAAATAAGATCAAAGCATCAAAAATATTTAAAATGTCGAATTGCTAACTTCACTTTTTTTCATTAACTAAATCTTTTTTTAAATATTTTTGATGTTTTATAAATTTTTCTCCAGCATATACTTTAATTTTGTCAGTTGACTCATTTGGAGTTTTCTGTTTGCCTTTTAGAATACTGTTAATGTTTTTTATCCAAATCCGCAAATGAAAAGGAATAACGTAATTAAAAAAGATATCTTTCAAATTGTGTTGTTCGCATTTAAAAATATGTTCTGAACAGGTATGGTTCAGTACAAGCTTTAAGGTTTCAGAAATATTTAAATTATCACATATTTGTGGCAAGACGTGACTTAATGCAAAAATGCAATTTTGAAAAAAAAATGTTAAAATTTGTAGAAGGTGCCAACAAAGCTGTTGGTGAATACGCTCTAGCATCAACTACAAAATATTCCAGCTTTATTCGGTTACCCCCAATGAAGTCTTGACGACACTGCGCAGAAATTTTAATTGCTTTCATTGCCTTTTTAGCGACAATACCTGTAACATATGTTAACTTTCCCCGCCTTAATAAGGAATGATACATTGGCTTAAATTCAGGGATATCAATTTCTGGAAAGTTTACTAAGGCGTTACTTTCAAAATATGGTGAAGTTAATATATGTTTCAGGTCGTCTAAAGCTTCAAGGTTGTCTTTTTTACAGTTAAAAGAGTTAGAATGCGATGACAAAAAATTATTTAGTAGTAGAGATTTGAAAGAATTTACAAAAGAAGCTGCATTAGGATTTATGTTACGAATTCCGTGGCTCCTTATTGAACCAAAAAATTTTTCATGGGGATCTTGGTTACAATTACGAGTACAAAAAAACGATAAACCGTCTTTAGACAACTGTCTCCACAAATAGATAAAGCCCCTAAGTGTGTGGATCCAATTCTTCACAGTTGGCGGTATGATTCTATTTTTCTTAACACTAAAGAACTCCACTGTTTCAAAAACTTCAATAGCTTATGTCCAAAAAATTAAATGCTCAGATTTTGACGTGACAGCACTGCGTTAATTTTTGCCACTTTTAGGTTTTATTGATACACCATTAACACTATCAAACACCTTATCCATAAATAGCAAAAAAAAATAGCTGTACTCTCTGCCTCTTTGTGCATACCTTCAGGGCTGTTGGAATCAACTGCCATTCTTTTCATTCTTTACAGCAGCTACGTTGTTGCTTAAAACTTGAGCTGCAACAGATACTTTCATTTTTTTGGAGTTATTAATATGTTCGGAAGTTAACCGTCTACACAGTGACAGTAACCGTCTACACAGTCGACATCTTCTGCTCCATCTATTTCGTGTAATCTGACTATATGTTCCCATTTTGCAATTTGCACTTGACCTTTTCGCCATATAAAACGAACCATATATTTATGGAAATTATTCCTTATTCCCTTCAGTTCCCTTCAGAAGATGTGGAGGGTCGTTTAAAGGGACAATCTCTTCACTACCAATGAGAACGCCAAACAGCCGGTTATCCTCAAAAACTCCTCCCTTTCGGATAAAATATTCCCGAGTCTCTTCATATAATCGGTTAATGGCCATATTTGTAGATCCCTGATCGCATATCATTGATTTTACTAGCAATCCAGCATCTTGACAAGATCTCACAACTTCTTTTATCACCTTTGCAAGAATATCTGTTTTCATCCCACCTTCATTAAAATAGTAGGCAAGAGGCTGTTTCCATTTCTTGTAAATGCCACGAGCCATAAAGACCATAACTTTATCGGAAATAAAAGGTTTGGTTTGGTTTGGTTTGGTTTGTTAATGTTTTCCTTGAAGGTGCTGTAAAAAGTTGCATAAATAGGCAGTACCCCTTGGGACTTTATTTCAGCAGTGATAAAAAAATATTTTTTCATTTAGAGAATAGTATAAATGACATCTCAGCTGGGATAAAACAAACTCGTATGTCTGTTTATTTAGTTTCGCCTTGAGAAAACCTGCTGAAGTGGTTACATCTTCCATATTTTTTAATCTTTCTCTAAGATCGATGCGATTCAAGTCCAGTCGTATAGCAGTTCTTCGTAGGTCTGATGCAATTCGGTAGTATTTCTTAGTCTTTGGTGTGAGGTCAGAAATGTTTCTTGTATGGGAACGTGCCAATAAGTTTACACGCTTTCTTAAATCTAAAAAAAGCATGTTTTAAAGGCATCCAAATACAAAACAACCACCAAAACTTACTTGCTACCTTGGCGGGGGTTGAAGTTTTATAGTTACTCTTTGGAGAAGGAGTCTGAACAACAGCAGAAGTTGAAGGGATTGGTGAACTTGGCAGAACTTGAGGTGGTAATACTGCCATTTCTTCTTTCAGATTAAGTTGTTCTTGATGTTTAAAAGATTCTTTATTAGAAGCTGTAAACAAATAATTTTTGTTTATATGTAAATGTGGCATGTAACAAAAGATAAATTAAAATACTCTTACCACTACTACCTGGCTCATGTAAAAATAATGTTGGAACAGCATCTTTCTTTATCAGAGACTTATTTCTGGTTCCCCCATACAAAGTGCGCATCTAATCCAAAATGGTAATGGCATACACGGTAATTTTTACGAACGCTTTCAGGAGATTTCAGTGTTAAATCAGTCCTTCCAATACTTTGTAACCAAATATCGAAAACCTAAAAGTAAAAATATAATTTATAGTAACCAATTCTTTTTTAGTACAAAAATACGATAAAAATATATGGGAATCGCAAAGGAAGGGAAACTATCTTGGTTTATACTATGTAACACGTGTTAATACTTACTATTCGATCCTTCGGAAACATATGCATTTGGACATCTTTTTGGTAATTCTTACAGCTAGGAACACAACACTTAAAAACCATTGTCTACAGTTAAAAAAATACAAAAAACACAAGAGCAGAACCGAACACAAATCAAAAACGAACTTTAAATACGATCTACAGATAAATGGATAGCAATCAACGGGCAAAATAAAATATAAATTGGCAGCTGTTGACAGGCTAAATTTTACATTTGAAAGTAAAACCAAAAAAATGCACGATTTTCAAGAGATAAAAAACCAGAGAAAAAAACCTAAGACGTCTTCCTGAGGTTAAAATATACTACCCCTAGAAATATTTGCATTTATTTAAGATTCACTCTGTATAGTGATGTTTATATCAAAATATAAAGCGTAATATAGCGTGTTTTAATAGAGCAAAAAGTAAATTTTTATTTAAAGGTGTAGTATTCATTTTGATATAAAATAAGGGTTTCCATTTTAGGGGGTGTAATATAGGGTTGCCACCTGTCCAGATTTTGTCGGAACAGTCCCGATTTTAATCCAAAAGTCCCGCGTCTCCACGCAAACCCCTAATGTGCCGATTTTTGTTTGTTTAATAGCCACGTTTTTATTAAACAATAGGATTATAAAATTTATTATTAAAAATACATGTTTATTAATTTTTTGAATTTAGTAAACAGTACTTTTCCAGGAATTAATTAAAATCTTAGAAATTTTAGAATTAAAAGTAGTAGATATTGATACTCTGTTTAATGAATATTCGATAATAAAAACTTGCGTAAAGGAAATTTGCTAAAAACGATATAAAAATTATAGATAAAAAAATAAAGTATTTTTAAAACTAGAGTAAATTATATGCCTTCATTGTATAAGGTTGTTAATTAAATATTTTTACGTAGGATGTTGAAGTAGACAGACGCTAGAAATAGATGTTACCAATCTCATTTAATTTAGATATATCGCATATAAGAATTTTTGGATTTTATTAAAAATGACAAAACTCTTATTATTACAGCAACAAAACAAATAAAAAATATTCATTACACTTGGGTGTTGGAACCTCTGGTGTTACACAGTGAAAAATAAAACACTAATTCACTGCAATACACCAAAATTGCTTTGATTTGCTTTTAACACTGGACGCTCGTTTCGCTAACCATAAATTTGAAGCTAACCTGCTAACCATCAGTTTTCATCACCTGCTGAAGATGCTAAGCTGGTTAACAAAACGCGCGTCCAGTGTTAAAAGTAAAGTGTTTAATGGAAATTACCGCACTTGTAGGGGTTAAGGCCTTTTTATGCTTGTGTATACATGTTATATTTTGAAGTGTTCTGGTGTATCGTGGTGAATTAGTGTTTTATTTTGCAAAAAAATGTTTATTTTAAAATAATTAAATAAACTAATAAAACCTATTATACAGATTATACATACAGCTGAAACTTTTGATTTTGTTTAGGTTTTGTTCAGTTGTTTTAGTTTGTTTACTAATTTTGTTTTCAACTTTTCATTTCTTATTTTTACATAATCATTTATAAATTTCGAATAGCTTTTTTATTTAACGCAAAAAGGCATAAAATATTGTTTCAAAATCCTACGGGCACATAAAATTTTACATTTAAGAAAAAAGGTTGTACTAGTGCTGTCCGGATTTTTTAAATACAAAAGGTGGCAACTTTGGTGTAATACTGTGGATTGTTATAAAAAATATAAAGTAAACTAAATCTACAGAAACGTAATTTTTGATGCATGAAACGTAATTAATGGTGCAGTACTTTAAATATGAATATTTTCTGGCAAATAAATAATAAAAAAATGTATCTAACATCTTGTAAAAAAAACTTTTATTTAGTATGAAAATGAATTGGAATCAATATTGCTTGCTATTTATATGGTTGCTTTTTTATATACCGGGTGCGTCTCAAAAATGGCTCACCCCTATAACTTTTTTATTTTTTTAGATAAAGAAACGAGATTTGGTATTTTAGTATATGACATAAATTAGGATTGATTGACGTATTCAATTGTTTTTGGTCACTTCCTGTTTCACCGGAAATGACTACAACTTTTGATTTTTAAATACCACCATCGGTATTATTTTACTTTATTCGATAGAAAATGATATTCTAAATAGAATGACATATCATATGTCAATTTTTGACATTCTCGCTTAATAAAAAATCGTACTTTAAAATTCAATCTAGAGTGCCATAGCTATGTTAAAAACACTAATTCTTAATCAAGGAGCCTTGGAAAAATAGATTTGATCGTCTAATGTTTTTAGTGTCTTATCCTGGCTAGTTAAGAAAATGCTCAAATCGCATTTTTAATCATATCTCAATTTTTTCAAATAGAACGAGGGTGGCTCATTAGCATATTTGGAAAAAGCATTTTTTTACGAATAATTTGATACCACACATTTGATATTTCGAGTCAAATTTTCGTTACGAACCGCATGTTATAATTTCAAATAAACCATATGTGAAAATGTCAAAAGTGAGGGTGCTATGTAAAAATCAAAAGTTGTAGCCATTTCCGGTGAAACAGCAAGTGACCGAAAACAATTGAATACGTCAATCAATCCTAATTTATGTCATGAGTAACATACCAAATCTCGTTTTTGTTAACTGAAAAAATAAAAAAGTTATAGAGGTGAGCCAGTTTTGAGACGCACCCGGTATTTCTATATTAATCAGAAATACTTTTTCTATAAAATGCAATTATGATCATATTCCTCTACAGGATGGTCCGAAAACTTCGACATTTTGTCTGCAGATAAAAATAAGTAAAAAAGTTTGTATAAATATATATTCTAAAATGCTTAGTTTCGGAGATACAAGGTGTAGAAGTTTCATGTCTATTTCGATTTTTTCCAAATAATTTCTGAACTAACGTCAATATCTGGAAGAAAATTGGCGTCTGGCAGTTTTTTGTCATGAAAAATTTGATTTTAATGTTAATATGACGCCTACTTGCAGAGGGAGCTATCTACAAATTATTTAACTGGTGTGAAGAGTAATAACTTTTCGTTCGTACCTGTATAAAACTACTGAGTAAAAAAATATACATTTACGACGTTTTTACGTAAAAAAGGTCTCTTGGTAAAAATCGCTACGAGTAATGATTCTGGAGATATTTGGAATCGAATTTATCAATACCTATCATCATTGGCATAAATTAAATATGTTGACTAAATAGCTATTAGAATAAAATCATAAATTTGGGATGTTTTTGTGCTAAAAGTTCAACAGCAACTGTTTTGTCATAATTTTTTCGCATAAAAATTTATGATTAATTAAAAAAAATAAAAAATTTCCCAAATTTATTATACTCAACGTGTTTATTTTTTATCAATAATGACTTGTATTGACTAGTTCTATTCTAAATATCTTGAGAATTACCAAGAGATATTTTTTACATAAAAAGTCACGGAAATGTATATTTTTTACAGTAGTTTTATACAGGTACGGACGCAAAGGTTTTTGCTCTTCAAAACGGTTTAAACACATATAGGTGGCGCCCCCTACAAATAGACAGACTGTTGACATCGCAATCAAATTTCTCATGTCAAAATACTCCCAGACACTAATTTTCATCCAAATATTGCCGTAACAGAAATTATTTGGAAAAAATCGAAATAAAAATGAAACTTCTTCTCCCAGACTAAGCATTTTAAGACATATATTTTAACTGTTTTACTTATTTTTACCTGCAGAATAGGCTGCCGAAATTTCCGGTATACAGTTCGGACTACTCTGTATACTTCTATATTTATCAGAAATACCTTTCTTATAAAATGCAATTTATCATATTCCTCTATAATATAAAAATAAACATTTTTATATTTGACCAATGCCGAGCCAAAATTTAACGACTACCTGCCCGTCTGCAATCAATAAAAGAAATTCCAATAGACACCCAAGAATGATCATAAACGGTAGACACCATAAAATTTCTATAGATCAGTAATATAATTTATTAGAACCTAGAACAAGTGGTGGGGCCTAAATAAGTCGAAAAGGTACATCTCCCTACATAAATTTATGTTAGTTGTTAATGTTCTTTTGAAGGTATCAGATCGTGGAATCAGCGAAATCTTTGTTTCTACTTGTTGTGTGCAAACTGTGAATGCGAAAGATGAGTACGGTAAGTCCTTTTAAATAACCTTTATATCTTTTTTTAACACTTATAAATTTAAATAGTCAATTAGTTTAAGACAGTTAAACATTGTATAGCTTATAAATAATACTAATAATAACAAATATATTTAAATAAATTAAGCTAAAGTATAAAAATTATCTTTACACACTTTTTTAACGTGTTCAGGGCTTGCTCTTTGCCAGGCAGTGATCTGGGGGATATGAGAGATTTTTTTTTCTATTTTCCTTTTATTATTTTCTTTTCTTTCTCGTTTTTCCTACTCTTTTCTATAAATGCCCTTAAATCACTGAGCTAGATAGGTATAGGAAACCCTGATATAGTTTGAAAGAGCATTTGAATCCGCTTAATTCTGAAAAGCAATGTACAAGATGTTGACAATTTTTTTATTATAGCATGCATATTTAAATAACTTTAAATATCTCAAAAACCAAGGCTTGTAAAAATACTAACCCTTATAATAAATGTCTTATTTTGTGTCCAAAGATGCAAATATGAAATAAAATACTGGGTGTTCCATAAGAAAAAATATATCTTTGGTGTGCATCTTAGTTCTGATATACCCTGTACATTTCAAAAAAAATTATGCACATTGCCTTCCCACATATACCCATAAAACATTTTGTTTCTACATCTTTCCTTTTCCGTATAATCAACCGAGGCGAATGAGGTGCGCCACCCTGTATAGTATCACTTATTTCAATCGCCAAATTTATTTTTCTTCAGTAATGTCGAGTATATGTAAGCCTAAACAATATCTGGACTTTTTTCCAGAAAATTATTTTTTTTGTAATTTTTATTAAACGGCCCATACATTATCATACAACGAGTTGCCAATGTATGGTAACGTTTGATGCGTTGCGCAACTGTATTGTTTGATACATTTGATAAGTTTCAAGAATGTTTGAATTCTTTTGTGCAACAGGCGTTTGCGCAGCGCGTTGTGTAGTGTGTGCTTCGTTGTGCAATATTTTAGTTCTTTCATCCAAATTCGTTGTTTTCTTTTTCGTTTTTTGGTATCATTGACATCATCTAGGCTATATACAATAATAATTGACGCAATGGGAATTGAAGACATGATTGTTTCTTAAACAATGCACAACTTTTAATAAAAAGTTTGATCAAAATTTTACTAAGTGGTGATGCAGTTGTGTAACGGAACGTTGCGCATCGCTTTGTTGCGCAACTTGTTTGATAGTGTATGGACCGCTAAATCAGTTGTGCAACGCAACGTTGCGCATCGCTTTGTTGCGCAATTTGTTTGATAATGTATGGGCCGCTTTAGGTATATTGTATTAGTGAAGTGAATACATTTATTTTATTATTATTATTTCTACATATTAAAAAACATATTACCGCAAAATAAAAACATAAACACCTAGGTTTTCACATAAAAAAAACCCGTATGTGTTTTACTTAGTTAGTATAGGGTGTTTTAAAAATTATGTGCCATCTCTCGAGGGGAGATTCCTCACGTAAAAAAAAGATTTATTACAGGATTTAATTAAATTATTAATTTAAAAATAAGATTTATTATAAGAATTACAGATTTATATATTTAGACCAATTTAGACCCAGATTTCAGTGATATTTGAGGGTAAAAGTTAAAGCTAAAAAAGTGTCGGTAGATTCACCAGGGACGTGCATATGAGTTATCACATCACTGGAATATTTTTCTTTTTTTAGCAATATTGTGTAGGCCGTTTAATACCGATTAAAAGTTGGATCTTCATATTTTGTCGATTTCGATTTCCTTGATGAGACGCAATTTTATTAATCACAATAATTAAAATAAAATTAATATTATAATATTATAAAACAGGGTGCTACAAATTCGGGATACGAACATTGGTATCTCGGTAATCGTAAGACAAGAACATGGTTAAATTGGGCAAAGTTGGGCTTTGGGATGTTCACCAAGATGTTATCAAAAAAGTTTTAAAAACTTCAAGGATTGCTGAGTTTTTTGGAAAAAACGGATTTTTTAAAAAATCAATTTTATTTTTTCCTCTCTTTACTTTTTAGAAAAACAAAAAACTAAAACATTCTCATAGCTACTTTATTACCGCTATCAAACAGTATTTTTAGATTTTCAAATTAGCTTATAATTTGTGAGATACAGTGGCCAACTTATTTTTTTAAATACGGACCAGCATTTTTTAGATTACTTACATTATTAGCAATACTTAACGTCATCTGTAAAAGTGAAATCAATAGATTTCAACATTTACAATAAAGAGTACAAAATGAATTCGGAAGGAAGTATCAATGAGCATTTATTTAACAATTTGGTAAAGGTTATTAGACTTGAATTGTTAATTAATAAAATTGCGTTTAACAAGAAAAAAATAGCCAGTGGCGCACATGCTTTTTTTAGAAAACTATTCGAGTGATAACCCCTGCTATATGCACATCACTGGTAAATATATCGACATTTTCTCAGTATTAAAATCACTTATAGTGACTTTTACCCACAAAATTTCATTCGAATCTCTTAAAGCACTTGGCAGAAAATTATAATAAATCGAAAAAAATGAAGACTAAACCCCTGTAGCTATGAAACAAAGCAGAATAGGACCATATATTGACATAAAAAATAAATCTTATTTTTACGTGAAGAATCTCCCTACGAGACATGGCGCATGTTTTTTAAACACCCTGTATAAAGTTTTAGGATTTATTTTTTTTTGTTTTCGTGTAGTATATAGAAAAGTTGACAAGCAGTCCGAATCCAAAGACGAAAGCGTTTTTGGAAAAATTAGCAGAAATAGCTTTTGGTAAGTGATTACTTATTTCCGATTATTTAATTATAAATACTGGGGTAAGTAGTACTTTTACAATTTATATCTCAAATAGAAAAAGAAATATTATTTTAAAATGACTGATGATTTCCACATAATTACGAAAAAGAACTGTACAGGGTGAGTCTTAAATAAGTGCAAATATTTTTAGGGGTAGAATATTTTGACCCCAGAAACACGATTATGAGATTTTTTTGCGAAAAAAAAATTCAGAAAATTTGGATTTTTTTGAATTTTTTTTTAGTTTATAGTTGAAACATATAATTTGTTGATAATATGGCAACACAGGTAGTAATTTGCAAGAAAGAAAATCCAGAAAAGATCCAGTAGTTCTCAAAATTTTAGCAAAAAATCATTTTTTTGGAAATTTTTAAAGTAAAATATCTCGGTTATTTTAGATTTATTTGAAAAACGGTAAAGAGAAAATATGTTTCTTTTATCGAGATCCACCAGCCCTTCATTTGCACTTATTTAAGACTCACCCTGTATAATCAGATTTTTAAAAATCAATTTTAATAAAGCTGTTATACAAATTTGAATTAATTTATTCATACATATGATCCGTCTTGATATGAGCTTACTCAAAAATATACCTTTATACAGGATGGTCCGAACTGTCCGGAAACTTCGGCAGCATATTCTGCAGATAAAAATAAGTAAAAAAGTTCGTATAAATGTATGTCATAAAATGTTTATTTTCGGAGATACAGGGTGTTGAAGTTTCATTTTTATTTGGACTTTATTCAAATAATTTCTGAAGTAGCGTCAATATTTGGATGAAAATTGGTATCTGGGAGTTTTTTGACATGAGAAATTTTATTTTGATGTCGTTATGACTCCTACTTGTAGAGGGCGCCACCTACATATTTTTTAACTGGTTTGAAGAGTAATAACTTTTCGTCCATACCTGTATAAAACTACTGAGTAAAAAATTATTTATTTACGACTTTTTTACGTAAAAAAAGTCTCTTGGTAAAAATCGCTACGAGTAATGGTTCTCGAGATATTAGGAATCGAAATTATCAATACTTGTCATCATTGACATAAATTAAACATGTTGATTAAATAGTTATTAGACTGAAATCATAAATTTTAAATGTTTTTGTGCCAAAAGTTACAGAAACTGTTTTATCATCATTTTTTCGAAGAAACATTTATTATTAATTAAAGAAAAATAAAAAGTTCCCAAATTTATCATTTTAGTCAAATAACTAATAACTAATCTACTCAACATATTTATTTTTTGTCAATAATGACCTGTATTGACTGTTCCCATTCTAAATATCTTGAGAACGCTTGCTCATAGTGATTTTTAAAAAGAGACATTTTTTACGTAAAAAATTATGGAAATGTATATTTTTTCACTATGTAGTTTTATACAGGTACAGACGAAAAGTTATTACTTCTCAAAACAGTTAAAATACATGTAGGTGGTGCCCCCTACAAAAAGGAGTCATATTGACATCAAAATCAAATTTCTCATGTCAAAAAACTCCCAGACACCAATTTTCATCCAAATATTGACGTTACTTCAGAAATTATTTAGAAAAAATCGAAATAAAAATGAAACTTCTACACCCTGTATCTCCGAAACTAAGCATTTTAGGACATACATTTATACGAACTTTTTTACATATTTTTATCTGCAGAATATGCTGCCGAAGTTTCCGGAATACAGTTCGGACCACCATATATATTTATTTTCACTATTAACTGCAATATTTAAAAGATATAATTTTCTTATTAGTAGGCCGCAATAGATAACAAAAAAACAAAATGGTATTTTTACTAAAATAATTATACACATATTAAAATTTAATTTGGTATTGAAGTATTTTACTTTTGAACTGTTTGAACCATTGAATCTCTGAATATATTTTTTTGCAAATATCTAAAAGATTGCGTGATAGCATTTCCAGATATTCGACATAGTTGTAGTTGCCACGATATATTTCATATTTCAAAAATCCCCAAATACAAATCGAGAACGGACAAATCCGGGAATCAGGGAGGCCATCGTATGGGTCAATATGGTATTTAACAAAATTCTAATACTATCAGAGTTGCGAGGGAAACAATAAAGAATTTATTAATGGCTCCCAAAATAAAACAAGAAACAGATAGCAGTATAATATATATTATTTTAATAATTTTTTTAGTTTATTTTATTATCAATCATGGCCTACTAATAAAAATTATCTTTTAATGAAAACTAAATATTGAAGTAAATAGTAAAAATAAATATATTTTTGAGAAGCTTGTGGCAAGCCAGGTCATATAATGTATAAACATACAGGTTGTTCCATTTAAGAAAACATAACTTTAGTTCATATATTCAAAAATATACTTTTTGTAGAATAACAGACTACGCCTACTACGTAAAAAGTTCTACAATAAACATTTTTCACCTTCTCGATACCTTTAACAATAACAGAGATACGGGGGTATACTCGATATCCCTTCCACGTATCTTTTATACCTCGCAGGCAAGCAAACTTTTAGGTCGGCGTTTACATGTATAGGAGTAGGGAATGCAATCCCGCAAATGCGGGATCCCTCTGAGATTCCGCGGGGTCAAAATTGCGGGATTTACCGTGCGGGATCTGCGGGATTGACACATTACTACTGGGTAACCGAATCGATTTCAATCAAGATCAAACAGTTTCGTTTTGGGCCGATGCGTCGACGCTCGGAACCCGGGGGATTCCCCTTACGGCTTGGCCATTAAAAATAAGTGAAACAAACAGGTTAGTTGTTAGATTTCTTTCTGGCGTATGTGCGTAAGTGAAGAAAAGCGTTTAACTAGTACTTGTGGACAATTTCGTCAAATAAACTGCCGGACATAATTATCGGAACAAACAAAATTTTAGGGTAAATTTAAAGTAGAATATCTCTTGAACTAAAAAAGATTTTGGGATGCGGTTTGGACCAGGTTTTAGATACATCTATTGTGATTAAGATGCTATATGGTTTTCGAAAATATATTCAGTGAATTCTCGTAAACAGGATGTTTTATAAGTGTGCAAATTTGGTTAAGAATCTTTTTTACCGCAAATTTACAATTTTTAAAAAATCGAAAGTTTTACCAAGTACGACTAATCTGTATTGAAATTAGAAAAAACAATTTGATCGGTTTTTAATTTTTTTTTGTTTTAAGGAAAATACGACGTTTTTTTCGAAAAATATGCATTTTTAGTCATACGTATGGTCCTAAATAGTACAAAAAGCTCTGTACATTCTGCATATGCCAAAAAATTATTGATGTAGAGTGTATCTAACAGCAGATAACTAACACAAGTTAAAAAAACTTCAACATCAAAATAATATTTTTCAAACAAGTAGATAAATTATAATAAAATTTAAGTTTATTTAATATTAAATATATATTTTGAACACTCTGTATACATTGGTCCAAATTTCTGTACAGCTAGTTTAAGATACACGCTATATCAATATATTGTGGGCCTATGCAAAATGTACAATGCCTTTTGTACCATTTAGGACCAAATGTATGACTATTGTTTACAGTCCTGCAATTTTGCGGATCCGCGGGATTGATTGCTTTAATCCCGCGGGTTTGCGGGATTGAGATTTTGGTGCGGGATTGCATTCTCTATATAGGAGTAAGTCGTTATGGCAATCTAGTAAGTCGGAGTGAGCAAAAATACGAAGTATTTATTACCTAACTACTTAATCTGACGCTGGATTCCATGCGTTTGGGAAAATACTCGCCTTCTGTCTTTATTCAGTACATCTTATTTTACTAAGCGTGTTGACCGTACTCTTCGTACACATGAAAACCGGCACCCAAGACCAAAAATGCCGACCCTTAGTATGTACGAGTAATTATTCAGTAGGTATGAGAATAGGTTATTTGTTTTTGATACCCCTAGGTAATAAGGGTGCCCACCCCAAATTTGTTTTTTTTTTAAATTTTTTTGCGCAAAATTTTTTATTTATGATGTTGCATTAAAAATACATACAACCCTAAATTTTCACCCTTCTACCATCAACCCCTATTTTTTAATAGGGGTTAGCTTTATAGTTACCATACTCCTCCGGACACCCTGTACACCCTTCCCTAGAATTCTAAGTACTTAATTTCAATTTATAAAATTTATCAATTTATGCGGTCCACTGCGATGAAACTGCCTTATCCCCTTCCATGTATCTTTTATATGTATATTCAGTAGGTATGAGAATAGGTTGATATTTGTTTTTGATACCCATAAGTGATAAGGGTGCCCAGCCCAAATTTGTTTTTTTTTTATTTTTTTTGGGCAATTTTTTTTTATTTATGATGTGGCATTAAAAAATACAACCTTAAATTTTCACCCTTCTACCATGAACCCCTATTTTTTAATAGGGGCTAGTTTTAGTTACCATACTCCTCCGAAACTGCTTAACCAATTTTGATAAAATTTTATATGTATATTCAGTAGGTAAGAGAATAATAATTTTCACCCTTCTGCCATTAATGTCTATTTTTTAATAGCGATATTAGCAATTCAGTAATTTTAATTTAACAACAAATTGTTTTTAAAAATTATTAGAATACTTTATACTTGTGTAATTACCCAAATTTCAATATACCGGGTACTTACAAAACGGCGTCAAGTTGGCTTGGAAAGGACGATCGATGACATATATTTCTTTATTACAGCCGTCTTCATTTTCAAGCCAACGAAGTAGTTTTTTCGATCGTATGATATTTATAAAACTTAACTTTATGCTATAATTCTATCGTATGATCGAAAAAACGTACTACAGTGGCCTGTGAAATGACAATGGGTGAATGACTATTTCGGTCGGACCCACTTCTATAAGTCATTTATTGAAAATATGTGTCAGAAAATAATTTAAAAAATGTAGTAAAAGTTTCTAATCTTTCGTAGCTAAATCTAAATAAATATGACTATGAATTATTAGAAATTTTAATAATAAATAAGTCTATCACACGGGCTATATCCACTATTTTAATATTGACTTTTTTATATTAGCAGGGATAGATATATGCGTTTTAGAAGCTCCGAACGAATCCACTATGGATATGCAGAGGTGCTGCGAAGATGAAGAAAGCTGTGAAGACATTCCTGATATGAAAGAAGAGTGCAATCTGACCAGAACAGAAACATTTACTGTTGCTAACTCGTCTGAAACAACACCTCCACTCTCACGCAACGAGACATTTTTTGCAAAAATCATCGACATTTTGTCTCTAACCGAGAGCGATTATGACTATGATTCACTATTTCCAAGTAGAAGACTTCATGAAGTAGAATCATATCAGGCGAGCTCTCCCAGAGTTATTAAACCTATTAGAAAAGAGTCGATTGAGAAGAATCCCTTTCAACATGTTTTACCGCCTGTTAACACCGATTTTTACATTCCCAAGAAAGTCGTGTCGTATGAAAGTAAAAAAGTAGCTGATGTAGTTCACGATCTAGTTTTCGAAAAATACGAACAACGCTATAACACTCTCTTAAGAAAGCTGCGAAAAACTCATTTTACGAAAGCTGATAAAAAATTCATTAACGTCATTGAAGAGATGAAACGTTCGTTTGCCACGAACAGCAACGAAGACGTTCCGGAATTATTTTCAGAAGAATCGGATAATGATGTAGAGTATCAAGGATATGACAGTGATGAGGGGTATGCGGGGTACAATGAAATGAATAAAACTTCTGATCCAACCGAACATTTCGTCACAGCATTAGAGACATTGTCTATTCAAGTGAAATCCAAGGATGATGCCATAGGCATCACTTCTCAATCACAACCACAGAACAATAACATAAACGGGGTAAGCTTAGTGACATTGGATTTGAGACTAAAATCACAACAACGGGTGCTAGTAATATTTTTTTACAGAACAGAATCAGCTGTGTTTCGAGTATTATGGCCGAAAATGAAGCGAAGGTGTCTGCCTACGATGAACGGAAGTTTCTTTCTATGGCTATTGGGGACGAACTGAAAAGAGGCTCTACAGAGGTAAATTCATGTTTTTTTTAATATTCTTTTTTTTATTGACACATAACGACTGGGGAAATACCTAATCAAAGACATCTAAATAAAGGGTAGACAGAACACTTCATTCATACAACTCAAATTTTTAGAATCATACATGCTTTAACACTTTTATGCGAGTTAAAAAGAGATGGGTACATAAATATGACAACACGGTTGAGTTTTGTGTGCCTTTCTGTCATTTCGAGCTTCCCAGTTTACAGCGTAGGTACCAATTTAAAAATATCAAAATCGCAATCGCAGGTTACAGTCGCAGCGATTTATAAATCACAATCGCAGTTTTGCTCATCTCTAAAAACACAATAATAAATTGCTTGAAAACCAAAAAATTCAGAATAACTTTTAAAAATTTAGAACAACTACAAATTCCTACAATTTCGAGTAAAAACTAAACCACAGCGCAGCGTTACCAAGGATTGCTACAGTAATTTCCCTAATATATTTTAATATAATAATTTAAACAGAACACTAAAAATAATTTCAAAAGCATAATCTATGTATTTTAATTAAAATTATATACCTACACAAATATTTAGTATAACGTTTCTATCGTACCCAACATTAATAACAATAATATGGGCATTTAAATGCTTAAAATTTTGCCAAAAAATCCAAAAGTAAACAATTATTTTATTTATTTTAGGAATTTAAATGTGAATGAAACTTCAAGTTTAGTAAAATTAATTTGCCAATAAATAAAGCAGTATTTTTAGAAAACAGATAAATAAAAAAATAAAATGATTAACAAAGCTATGCAAAATATTATATTAAACATAAATCATGTCTTACAATAATTACAAAAACAATTAATTAGTGTTTTAAATCATCAAGCAGTCAGGGTGTTTTATTTGTTCTATGAATTATGGCAATTCCAAATATCTGGGTTTTTCCCCCGAGCCCTGTCTTATAATTGTCTATTTCCCAATATTAAAATTTAGCCGAGGTAGTTTATTACAGGTAATTTATCACAGGTAAATATAATAAAATATTAGTATAATACTATTGAGAAAAAATGTAAAAGTTATTGCTTGATTGACATAAAATGCATTTTCTTCGAAAAAGGACAAAAAAATGCAAATTTCATTTCTTCCGTGCCTTAGTTCTTTATTATTGTTGTAAACTAAAAAAGTGGTTAATTTTTACAGCGCAGGCATTAAACATTTTTTCTGCAAATTTTAAAAATAATGTTTACGTCTTGATAACAATTTGTCAAGCGCTCGTTTTTATATTCCTATATTACCAAGTGGCCTTGTGTGAAATACCGTCTGATCGAAAAAAAATGGCGTCAAAGACGGCTAGAGAATGAAAATTGATGGTAATTTGAGGAGGTCAATCTCTAGAGTCTAATTTTAGAAAGATTTTTCCAGACTAATTATAGAAAGATTAAAAAAGGATAGAACGTTTCCAGACATACAAATCTATTTCCAAAAAAAATATTTTCTCTATAATTTTACCCTTTGGTAATTTTAAACTACTACCATTTAAAAATAATTTTTACTAAATATAAAAATAAATTATAATCTTCTTAAGGCCAACTGGTAGTAAGCGCCATTAAAGGAGAGAACGACTAAGTTAGTGACGTCTAGGGCTTCATCTCGCCAAAATTATCAGCAATTGTCATTCCCCCGTTTTTGACGCCGTTTTTTCGATCGTATAGTATATTGCGCGTAGTTTTTTTACATATTGCATTAAAATTAATAAGATTATTGTATATGTTGTCAACAACCTTCGTTTCTATAGTTACAAGTAATGGTGGACAAAACCGTTGTTTTGGTTAGTTGAAACTGTTGTTATTTATATGTATATAACAACAGCTTAAAATAACAGGTTTCTGTTATTATTTCACTTTAATCTTAAACATCTAAAAGAGCATACACATTGTCTAAATTCTAGTAAAATCATACAAATCTTCATATTTATTTCTTAATAAAAAATAATGTACTTAAAATATAAAATTTATAAACAACTCAAACTTTGTTTTAATTTTTAAAATATGTTTATTATATTATTAATAATTAAAAATATAATTATTAAAAAAAATAATATTAATATTAAACAAAATAATTAGCTTAGACAGTCTTTATTTATTTAAGTAGTTGAAAAGCACTTAATATTTCTAATTACCAAAATTCAAATTCGTTTAATTACTATAAATCTAATCACCATTTACAATTTCTTGATATCGTTATTGCTGATAGGCAAGTAAAATTGTCTTTGAAGAGTTTTAAAACGTAGCAAAAATAATGAAAGTACATATATTTAAAAATATTAATAAAAATAACTAAGTAAATGAAGCAAAATAAAACACTCAATCACCACAATACACCAAAAACACTTATACTTTTACACTGGACGCGCGTTTCGCTAACCATGTTAGTATCATCAGCAGATGATTTTATAATCATCTGCTGATCAGCAGTCAGTACTTTAGAGTGTTTTTGCTGTATTGTGGTGATTTTAAATTCGTACACCGCGATCGACCGACACAGGCGAAAAAGCTATTATCTTCCAATTCCGCTTATCTCGACCGCCGCGCCGCGCCGGCGCCGCTCGTTATGCTCGTAACAGGTTAAAAAACAACGTATCTAAAATAACTGCTTCCTATACGTTATTCTCCAACCCGTTGCGAGCCCAACATAGACAATCGACCGATGCGACAGCGTTACTTTCCCACTCCAGTTATCTCGAACGCCACGCGTTATGCTCGCAACTGGTTAAAAAAGCTGCTTATTTTATATACCGTTATTTTTAAGCTGTTACGAACCCAAAACGACCATCGACCGATGCAGCAATGTTTACGGTAGCGCAATGCCCACTCCGCTGTATCTCGACTGTCGACTGTCGTCTGTTATCGATGGTTGTCAAAATAATTGAAATTCTTCATACTAGTTATTTTTTGGAAATGCTTAGAGAAACTTTTTTTAACTTTAAGAAAGTTAATCACATGTTACTTATTTATATTAAAAAATCCTTATAGTTACAATATACTTACACATTATAAAATATACATTTTGATCTTTAATTTTAATGACATTTTTATAAGAACTGGAATCAGTGCAATACATCATTAGTTTTGGGACCTAGAAGCTTTTAAAATCCATAATACAAAATCCAAGGGTATATTTTAAAAAGAATGTTGATGATAACAGCTGAAAGGAGAAACACGTTCATTTAAAAATCTAACACCAAAATACAGGGTGTTGCAATATTTCGCAGACATAGAACTACTATGTATTTTTGGAATCAAAATATGTTCATTAACATAATTTACCTCTATACAAAAGTGCTTCGTTTGTCCGCTAGAGGGCACCAAACTTTGAAAAAATAAATACATTTTTTCAGATATTTTAAAAACCTTTATTCCGATTTGAATGGGATTCTGGGTGTCGATTTGAATGCGATTCTTTTACATTTGATATTTTGTCGATTTCGGCCTCCTCGATGAGATAAACGCAATTTACTAATTTGCCTTGATCCAAGTCTAATAGCAATCTTTAAAAAAAATAATATCATTTACTTGCGGAAGTTTTAAATAACCACTCATTGATTCCTCATCAAAAAATATGAAAAAGAGTTTTCATAGAAACTTTCTGTTTTATTTTTATCTGTAGAATCGCCCATCAAATTTAGATATTCACTATTTTTTGACACTCTTTATATAATTTTTTAAGTTTTACATAAATTTTGTAAATATTTTTTGTAAGATATATTGGAAATAGCTTCTATTTTCTATTTCAGGATTACGTTTATCCACGCACGGCTAGCGTAAACAGCAATGAAATATCCGAATTGGTATCGTCAACATCATCAACGATGAAGTTGTCCGAGATGAATCCAACGGAGTTTTTGAAACATACACTTCAGAGCTCTGAATCTTTATTCAATCTCATTGAAAATAATTCCTGCGTGTCCTATGAATGCCTGACAAACCTCAGCGAAGAAGCTTTTTTTGATAGTGCCAGAAAAAATCTGAAGAAACGAGTCTACATTGAAGAAAATATTGCAAACCAACTGCTGGGCTTCCTCGAATTTGGCAGATCAAACATTGACAAATTTATTGGCAGCAATGCTCATTTGGAAGCGGAAAGACTCCTAACTGTATCAAGTAAGTTGAGATAATAAGATAAATAAAACAATACCATTCAATTCAAAATAAGAAAACAGACCCTAAAGTCTCGGTTGGGTTTGTTTTGATTAGGATATCAATATCAAAGGGATATGCAGACTTTATTTTATAAACTCTGTCCAACGAGACAGGAGACAGGGAAGATTTCAACAGACTTTTCTAAGTTTGGTTTGGTTTGGTTTAGTTATTGTAACTCTGTGATAATGTATGTGTGTTTAGTTAATAAACGGTTTAAAAAAAAAACCTACAACATCCAAAAAATGCCACAAGATACAATTAACCTGTGAGTTAAAATGATAGACACAACTGTCGCTGTTATGTACAGGGTGTCCGTTGTTAGTGACCAAGATGTAGTTTGCCAAGCCTGTCCTACATTTTTATCAAACGGAATTTGCTGTAAACAAAATTTTCTATATGGGCCTCTTCGATTCTGAGCTACAGGGTCTTTTTGAAAATTTTGCAATTTGGAATCTCCCCCAGTATTTCCGTTAGGTTAGGTTAGGTTAGGCCGTGATAGATAATAAAAAATCAAAATGGTATATATACAGGGTGCTACAAATTCGAGGTACGAGCATTGGTATCTCGGAAACCGTAATAGATACGAAGATGGTTAAATTGGGGCAAAGTTGCGCCTTGAGATGTTCACCAAGATGCCATCAAAAAAGTTCTAAAAATTTCATGGATTGCTGAGTTTTTTGAAAAAAACGGATTTTTTGGAAAATCAATTTTATTTTTTCCTGTCGTTACTTTTCAGAAAATCAAAAACTAATTACACATTCTCATAGCCACTTTATTAGGGCTATCTGATAGTACTTTTAGATTTTCAAATTAGCTGATAATTTGTGAGATACAGAGGCCAACTTAATTTTTTTAAATACGGACCTGCATTTTTTATTTCAGGTTCTGAAAGAACTCGATCTCTTGAGTATAATGATATGCCACACTTGATATGTTTTTTTTTTGTTTTGGGTACCTTAACAACAACAAAACTAGTTAATTATTATTTAAAATAATTTCAAGTACGACTCTGTTTTTTCATTGTCATTATATTCCTCGCAACAATATTGATCAGCGTTAATTGACATTGAATAAGAAAAATCTAGCCAATCCAAAGATTCAAAAAAAAACATAATACTAACAACACACACTAAAATAACATAACACTCACATAAATAATATCCAGGTCAGCAATTTAAAGATATTATTTTTAACTTTTTTATTGTGAATTTGGAATCTCAATGTACGATCTAATAATATTCATAATATTAATAGTAGTTATTATAAATAAATCAACTTCTATAAACTAGTTTCTAATGCTCTACATGTTCTACCCTTCCTAATGCACAAATTTATTTCTTGTTCAATCTTATTTATAGCTCTTTGAATAACTTCTTGTTATAGTTCCGAATGCATTTTGTACTCTTTATTGTAAATGTTGAAATGTATTGATTTCACGTTTACAAATGACGCCAAGTAATGTCCCTTTAGTTATTGCATTTGATTTTTCGTATTCAATGTTTTACCCCACATCATTGTTAAGTTTGAAAGCTTATCAATATTGTAACAAGTTGGCCACTGTATCTCACAAATTATCAGCTAATTTGAAAATCTAAAAATACTATCAGATAGCTCTAATAAAGTGGCAATGAGAATGTGTAATTAGTTTTTTGATTTCCTAAAAAGTAACGCCAGAAAAAAAAAATTATTTTCAAAAAAATCCGTTTTTTCCAAAAAACTCAGCAATCCTTGAAATTTAAAAAAAAAATTTGATGGCATCTTGGTGAACATCCTAAAGCGCAACTTTGTCCCAATTTAACCATGTTCGTATCTATTACGGTTACCGAGATACCAATGCTCGTACCTCGAATTTGTAGCACCCTGTATAGTATATATTTACTAAAATATTCACACACATATTAACATTTTATTTAGGATTAAAATAGTTTGCTTTTAAACTGTTACCATCGAATCTCTGAATATATACTACTTTTTTATGTGTAACTGGATTAATTATAACGGAATGGGTTTGCATATCTCTAAAAACTTGCCTGGTAGCATTTTCCAAGAATACGACATTGTTGTAGTTGCCACGATATATTTAATTTTTCAAAAAAATCCCTAAATACAGAAATCTGCGGATCTGGGAGTCCATTGGCCCAAATTTATTGATTTGGGATATAGTTGTCTATAAAATTCTCAAAATTTCAAGTTGTGAGCTGGAGCCCCATCTTGCTGAAAGTCTATTTCACGTAAATTAGCTAAAGAAAATATCCTCTAAAAGTTCTCTTCTAAGATAGCTTCCAAGATTTACTAATAGCGGTAGGGTGTTAAATTTCCCTGATATATAAAGAATATATTAGTGGCTCCCAAAATAAAAAAGACACAGATCGCAGTATACTTTTAATAATTCTTTTGTTTCTTTTATTATCCAATCACGGCCTACCAATAAAAAATTATCTATTAATGAAATCCTTTAAATGTTAAAAAAATAGTGAACACAAATATAGACTGTTATATATTTTTGAAAAGCTCATAGCATACTTTTTTTTATAAATATACAGAATATTCTATTTAAGAAAACATAACTTGACCCAATGTGAGTTCATTTTAAGTCATTAACCTCAAATGAGTTGATTAAAGGCAAAATAACTCACAATCTTATATTATTTTTTTTTCAAAAACATTCCAAAGATATGGGGTATTTCACTTTTCCAACTAAACAATCGGCACACTCGAAATTGCATGTGAGCCTCTAGCCTAAAGGTAGATTACTAAAATACTTTTAGTTATTTTATTTGGTTATCTGATACTTGATAGCTTTATTAACCAGCTGTTTTATTTTACAGATATACGCAGACAAGCTATATTAGATCTGATGATTTCTCCATATTCACCAACTCATCACGTCCGAGCACAAATAACCATACAGAACGCAAGGTGCATTATCAACGACGAAGATCTAAACGACTACACTATGGTCTCAAACTATCTCCTAGTTCTCAGCTACAGAGACAGGATCTACAGTACGAAACCTATATCGCCCAACAAGCTAGGTTGGATTGACCTTGGAGGACCTTTTGTATTCAATAGTGTTCCTAACACGTTTGAGATTAAAGCGGAACTATTCGCCATCAAATGCAACTCCCATTCTCCGAAAATTTCCTTTAAGAATATCTTTTTTGGCCGCATACCAAAACTACCCATGATCAGGCTTGTTGGAGAAACTTATATTAACTTGAGTAACGCTAGCAACCAGAAATTTACTTTTAAGAATATCATCAAAAGTAAGTATAGGCCAAACAGACTCACTGCTTCAGTAGAAATCGGCATACAGTGGCCCGAACCGCTTAAAGCATTCCTAAGCATGGGTTCAGAACGACCTGGAAAACAAGTTCTGTGGAATCGTCGATGGTTCGTTCTCGAAAAATCCAAATTGTCCTATTACACTCACCCCTCTGATGAAAATTACTGCAGTCCCAGAGCAATGCTTGATTTAACGGAGTGTTTATTCTGCGATGAAGTCAACAAACTGTACCCAAACAAGAGATCTCTCGTACTAGTACTAGGGTGTGAAAAACAGAAAAAGATATATGTCACTCCAGATACGAGTGATGAACTAAAACTCTGGCAAGAAAGGATTCATTTGGTTTTAAAAAGCCTTAAATACTGGAACATTGAAAAATTCTAATGTGACAAACTGTAATGTCTTACTGTGCACTGGTGTGAGAAGGAATGGATAACGTGTGAATGAATTATTTATTAAGCTAATGTAGAGATAGATAGATTTATTTGTTGAATAATGTAGAACAATGTCAATATGCAATAAAGATATTCAATAAATTTAAAGAATAATAAAATAGTACATTACAAAATCGTTTATAGTTATTTATTAATGAAATCGTTTTCACTATTAATCAAATGTACATGTATCAGCATCACACCACCGTTATGTCGATATAAAGGAAAGACTGTCAATCGATTTGCCTCCTCCTTTCAATATTGCGCCATTCTCCCGTATGTTTCCCCCATGGAGTCTGCACCCACTCTCACTTGACCTATCACTCAAAGTCCACAACAAAAAGGAATGCTCACATCTCACTATAAGAGCACAATTCAAAGATCTCATCAACTCGAAGTATAAGAATCATCGACTGGTTTACACCGATGGCTCGAAAACTGATAGGCACACTGGAGCGGCTTTTCATACGTTTGATAAAGAAATGTGTTTCTCACTAAGTCCCATAACGGAAATATTCTCAGCAGAGCTTTTTGCAATATTTAAGGCCATTCAACATATATTGACCTCCAGCTACAAGAGATGGGTCGTGGCTACTGATTCATTGAGTTCCATTTCAAGTATCTCCTCTTTCTACTCCAACCATCCACTAGTTATAGCAATCAAAATGCTTCTACAGAAGGCCAATATCAACCACTACAGCGTCACTTTCATTTGGCTTCCAAGCCACATAGGAATTCCGGGCAATGACAGAGCTGACTACTTGGCTGCAAAAACTCCCAACCCTCATAAAACCAACCTTGTTTTCTCCGTGCAAGATCTAAAGAATTATGGCAAACATATGATCGATAATATAATCCAACTAGAATGGGACTTAGACATGAATGATAATAAGCTTCATGAAATCAAAAGGGACTATTTTGAAAATAATGTAGTTAACTTACCTAGAAGAGATTTTGTTGTGCTCACTAGAATTCGTTTAGGATACACGAAACTTACCCATGAACACCTCCTTAAAGGACAGAATCAGCCCATTTGTGTGAAACATGTAATCTTCCAATATCTGTCAAACACATTATCTTTGAATGCCCAAAGAACGCGTTAAAACGAAGACAACACGGTATCGTGGATAACCCTGAGGTAGCCCTTTCCTACCAAAATAACAAGGCTATGTTGGATTATATAAAGGATATATAAAAATATATAAATAATGGGATAAAGTGACGCTAAAAGACTCTACAGTCGATGCGTCTTTAACACATCTCTCTCTCTCTCTCTCAAAATGATTTAGATGATTTTTCAGTTGTTCTGGCAATTTATTAAACATTGTTAAAGAGGTTTTTGCAAACCCTTCTAAGGGGTGGTAGTTCTAATTTGATTTATTAATAACATAATTTTTGTTTCTTGTAATTAGATGTGATTATGTGGGGACTTATTAAATACATATCTAATTATACAGGGTGTCAAAAAAATAATGTATCTAACTTCCGTGGGTGATTCTACAGATAAAAATAAAAGAAAAAGTCTCTATGAACATATGCCTTAAATATTTCGTGTTGAAATTTGGAACCCTTACACACATTTTAATGACAAAGCGAATGGCGATATTGAAATTGCGTAACAGCCCTGAAATAGTAGTTTTCAGTAGGGTAGAGAGTACTACTGGTGTTTTATGGCATGAGTGAGGGTGTAGCTAGTTGCTCGAAAGATGACATAATATCGAGCATTTTTCATGTCAAAGAGAAATACGAAGCATGTGACAATATGGCTAGACAATTGTTCGAGCCAGAACAAAAACTGGTCACTATTTAGTTTCGTTATTTATATTGTCAATTCTTCAGAAGTGGCTTTTGAGAGCCTGACTTTAAATTTTTTTGAAGCAGGCTATACATTTATGGCTGCAGATCATTTCCATCATCAAGTTGAACTTGGTCTTAAAAAGCGAAAAATGTCTATGATTTTGAAGACTTTTGTGATGTTGTAGCCCATGTTAATTCGTCCAAGGTTCATGTACATACGAGGTTGTACAAGGAGAATTATGGGAGATCATCAAAAAATTGTAAGATATTGGACTAAATGTGTTATCTCTCGTTTGTGATATGAGTTCTAACAGTATTCATTTTTTTAATAAAAAGTATACAACCTAACCCAAAATGTCTACCGTATGGGTAGATGAAATTAGTTTAAAAGCAGGTTTATTTTACGGGATAAGTAGAGATAGAATTATAAATTTTGAAATCTTCGGAGGAGATGAAAAAAGGTTTAAATATGCTATGAAGGAAACAGTAGTAATGACGAGAGATGTATGTTCAAATTGGAAACAACCTGTTGCGTAGTGTTTTGTCAATTTATCTTGTCCTACAAAAAAACTCCAAAATTATTATTAGAGATCGTTAAAAAATTGCAAGATATTGGACTAAATGTGTTATCTCTCGTTTGTGATATGAGTTCTAACAATATTCATTTTTTTTAATAAAAAAGTATAAGTACTGGATAAGTACAGATAGAATTATAAGAGATCATTAAAAAATTGCAAGATATTGGACTAAATGTGTTATCTCTCGTTTGTGATATGAGTTCTAACAGTATTCATTTTTTAAATAAAAAAGTATACAACCTAACCCAAAATGTCTACCGTATGGGTCGATGAAATTAGTTTAAAAGCAGGTTTATTTTACGGAATAAGTACAGATAGAATTATAAGTTTTGAAATCTTCGGAGAAGATGAAAAAAGCTTTAAATATGCTATGAAGGAAACAGTAGTAATGACGAGAGGTGTATGTTCAAATTGGAAACAACCTGTTGCGTACTGTTTTGTCAACTTATCTTGTCCTGCAAAAAAACTCCAAAAATTATTATTAGAGATCATCAAAAAATTCCAAGACATTGGACTAAATGTGTTATCTCTCGTTTGTGATATGAGTTCTAACAGTATTCATTTTTTTTTAATAAAAAAGTATACAACCTAACCCAAAATGTCTACAGTATGGGTCGATGGACTTAGTTTAAAAGCAGGTTTATTTTACGGGATAAGTACGGATAGAATTATAAGTTTTGAAATCTTCAGAGAAGATGAAAAAAGGTTTTAACCTGCTATGAAGGAAACAGTAGTAATGATGAGAGGTGTATGTTCAAATTGGAAACAACCTGTTGCGTACTGTTTTGTCAATTTATCTTGTCCTGGAAAAAAAAACTCCAAAAATTATTATATTAGAGATCATCAAAAAATTGAACAAAAGAAAACAAGAACAGCGGCGGATTCCACTCCCTAATGAAAAAAGAATAGGAGAAGACCCAACTCGAAGTATTAAGGATTAGGAACACCTGGTGAAAGCCCTTGTTAGTTACGACAAGAACACGACAACCTCATGGAAATAATGATAATAATATTTGAATTGCGATTGAACAAAGATGTAATCTATAGGAAATATTGATGTAAGTACAAGAATTGTCACGTATATTTTTTAGAAATCATTAAAATAACAGGATTTATTTTTCGAAACTGTTCGACATTTCAATATACAAATAATAATTTTAAACGTAGCTTAAATACATTTATTTAAAAGTTAAATATATTTTTTCTGTTTGAAAATAAAAAGAGTACTATTATTTTATTTTATAAAAAAACAAAATAAAAAAAACCGTAATTAAGAAACTAAATAATTGTATTTAAATTATGTAACATTATGTAAAACAAAATATTTTATAAAAAATCTATCCAATATTACTGTCATCTTTAATGAAAAATAAGATTTCTTATTTTCATATCAGAAAAATAAAACCAAGTACAAATACATTTTATTTCAATCATTTTTTTATTTTTATATTTACTGTCAAATAATATTTTTAAATCTTTATTAAATAAAAATGACAACAGCTCAAGACACAACCAGTGAATTGGAAGCATAATATATAAACTCTCTGAAATGTTTTCAATCGTCTCTGAATATGAAGACCAAATGTTTTTATCATCTTACCTAGGCAAAGTTACTTATTCCAACAGTACACAGGTTTATATAAAATATAAGCGTTTCATCTGGAATTGATAAAAATGTTTTTAAAATTTTAGGTCAAAAAGTTCATCGTTTTAACAAGTTAGATAAAATGTCTACTGTATGGGTCGATGAAATTGGTTTAAAAGCCATTCAAAGATCTAATTTTGAGATATCCAACTTGGGAGACGTAACATCAAACTTATCAGGGAAAAAGTATTTTTCAGTTCTAGATCTAAGAGATGGCTAGTATTACTGTGAACTAACAGCAGAATTTATGTACTTTTACTACACCATTTGGGTGTTACAAATTCTTAAGAATGCCATTTGGGTTATCAATAGCACCGTAATTTTTTCAAAAGGTTATACAGGATAGTTTTTGTAATATTAAAGGAGTAAGTATATATTTTGACGATTTGTTAACATCAGCAGAATCAGAATTAGGACATGATAAAATTATTAAGAAAGTTATGGAAAGGGCTAAATTGTTAAATATTAAGTTTAATCCAGATAAAATACAGTATAAATCAGAATCAGAATAATAAAATATCTTGATCTTGTTTTTCTAAAAAAGGTGTTGAGCCAGACCAAGATAGTCTTAAAGCTATTGAATGTCTTAAGGGTCCAAAGTCTGTTAAGGAACTTCAGAGTCTTTTAGGAATGTTTAATTATTTGCATAGATTTATACCACAATTTGCTTCATTAACAAGTCCGTTAAGAGAAATATTATTAACGAAAAATGTAATGTTTCATTGGATGCCAATACATGGAAAATGTTAGTTGCCAATACAGAAATTCAAAATTATAATATCTAATATATAAATACCAGTTTTAGCTAATTTTGATTCTAACAAAAATATTACTATAGAGTCAGACGCAAGTAAAGACGGGTTAGGGTGTACTTTGTATGGGCACGTATGTAAGTTTGACAAAAAATGAGAAAACATGACTTAATAAGTAATTTAAATAAATTATTGGATTCCTAGGCACGAGAGGATAGTCTTAAATTATTCAAAGATATTGAGCCCTTGAGAAAATTATTTTAAATCTAAATTTCTAA